TGAAGTGGGTAACCGGGGACCGCTGTTTTCATTTTCTTCCTGGAAATTTAGCGCTAGCTGTAGGCCTTCTCTATTGATTATATTTCCGGGCATTGTACAATATTGAAGATGTATAATAGGACAACTGAAATTGCAATTGTCAAGTCAAATATGATGAGACACACAGCTAAAAAATGTATGTCTTTGAGCTTACCGAACAAACGTTCACACACAGGGGTAGGTTGCATGTGTACGTGTGAGGGAGATGGAACTATATAAAGGGATACTGGTAGTCTTACTTTAACTCACCAACAACTATATACATGACGAATTTTACAGAACTAACATATAACTCCAAAACGTGGAATCCACAAAACAACTAATGGTGTTTAAACACGCGCTGATCTTATTTAGTCAATGATAAATGCGGTGTTGCCTGACAGATAATCCGTTTTTGATTAATTACACTGGACAACAAATTTTAGTTTTTTAATTGTATCTTGTGGGAAAAGTGCGCTTCTTTGTTAATTTTGGGGCGCTGAATCCCAAAATGACAATGAAATAAAAAAATTAGTTGCGGTTTAGAACAAACATTTTAATTTTTAAGGATATATTAAAAAAAGTAACAAGATTCATATTATACTTATAAGAATCACTATATGCGCTAACTTTTTGCTGTTCTTTTATGGATCGTTTCTGGAGCATCTCTACCAAGAGTCCAACAGTAGTTTGCAAGCATGGAAGGATTCCACTTTCCCTGGTACCTTTTTTCCATTGTTGAAATATCCTGATGAAAACGTTCGCCGTGCTCATCACTTACGGCTCCGCAATTGTCAGGAAAAAAGGTCCAGGTGTGAGTGTAGGAAATGCATCTTAAGAGGCATATTACGGCCCATCTTTTGATACCAGACGGAAATCATTCCAAGCAGTTTTTTCAATACCTGTTAAAGTGTTTTCAAACTGTGTATCTTTCAAAATATTTCGAATCTGTGGCCCAACAAAAATACCTTCTTTAACCTTTGCCTCACTTAGTCTTGGAAATTTCTGACGCAGGTTTTGAAAAGCTGACCCATCTCTATCTAATGCCTTGACAACGTTTTTCATTAGGCCCAACTTGATATGCAGTGGTGGTAATAAAAATTTTTTCGAATCTTCTAATGGCATATGCTGTATATTTTTTTGACCTGGCTCTAGGAATTGACGAACAGGCCAGTTTTGTTTGGTGTAATGAAGTGCCTTTGCCTGACTGTCCCATTCACACAACAAAACAGCAAAACTTTGTGTAGCCTAGCTGCAGCCCAAGTAAAAGTGCAACAACTTTCAAATCCCCACAAATATGCCATTGGTGCTCATCGAATTTTATGCATGTCAATAAGTACTTCATATTGTCATATGATTCTTTCATGTGAACTGCATACCCTAGAGGAAGAGATGGTAAAATATTTCCAATATGCAATAACACTGCCTTTAAACTCAATGTTGAACTGTCTATAAACAACCTCCATTCTTCTGGGTTATAGTTTATATTTAAAGCCGCCAGTAAGCCGTTAATGTTACTGCAGAAAACCAAGTTATTCTCCATATTGAAAAATGGTTCTAAGTCTTTGTGGAGTTTACGAAGAACACATACCGAAACATCGTCTTCTAACAAGTTCCACTGCTGCAGTCTTGATCCAAGTAACTCTGCCTTACATTTTGGAAGTTCTAAATCTCTTACAAGATCATTTAATTCTGACTGTGCTATTTTGTGCGGTTGGTGGCATGACGTGCTCGGTATAAAATCAGGATCTCTTGACGTTGATGGCATATCTTCTTCCTGACGAATCACTCGATCGCCATGATCTGATTCGTTTTCTGATTCGCAAGTGTAGGATTCTGGGGGTTTTGGAATAGGATTTTCGTCACTGCGAGGCACAGGTCTGATCGCAGATGGTATGTTTGGGTAGTTAATAACCGATTTTTTTTTTCTTGGACATACCTGTGGCTTGTCCAACACAAGGTACCATGCAAAAGTAACAATCATTAATATGATTTGTAGGCTCTCTCCAAACCATTGGGACAGCAAAGCGCATAGACCGTTTTTTGCCATTTAACCAGCTCCTCAGACTTGAAGCACATGTATTACAGCAGATGTGGGGTGCCCACTGTTTGTCTTGATCACCTAGTTTACAACCGAAATAAAGCTGATATGCCTTTGTTATTAGTGGAGTAACAGACCGTCTCTGAGACGCAGAAGTCACATCACCACACACGTAACAAAACTGATCTGGATTGTTTACATACTTTCGAGACATCTTGCATGAACGCTGACAGCCAACTGAGGAATAAATGGCTAATATAAAAGAATATAATGTACACGTATGTATAACGTAACAAAATCATGCCGATTACATCATCTTTCCTTGCCGAATATAAAAATGTAGTACGTGCATTCTTGTGAATTACAGTATATTAACACTGTCACAGCAGGAACACATATAATTACCGTATCTCTAAAATTTGAGCTAATATTGAAAAAATAAGTTTCATTCCGGTTTTAGCACATTAAAAATAGTAATATTTTGTTGATTTTATTTGTAGCTTAAAAAATATATTTCTCATTCAATCACATTTTTTGCGAGAGTAGGAATTCTCAAAACATGCGGTAAGTTATCACGTAGCTATTTAACTTTCAGGACCGCACGCGTAGTATTACATCGTTTAGTTTAGTGACAAAAGAAGAACGTCACCTAAAATTCAAAACTTTTCTAACCTCAAATTGTGTATTTGTCCAATCACCGGCCTGCTTGGCATAGTTGCCAGTTTTCTAGACAGCCTGACGTTGAGAGGATATAATAATAATAATAATAATAATAATTATAATGTTTATTGGAGTATTAATACACAATAGAATCAAAATACGAGCAAATAGCATAGCCATTTTTCACCCCCGCCTGAATAGCTAAGGTAAATTCATTAAATGCATTACTATATCTTACTAGGGTATATCATATACATTACATAAAGGATATTTGGTTGACAATAATAATGCTAACAAAACTTTAAAAATTTAGTATATTGGGAGCTATGTAATAGAAACATTTTTTAAATTTTGAGGTAGTGTGGGCTGGTATATTATAACAATATTCATTACGGAGGAACAGTTGATGGAGTGAAGATCTTTTCTCTAATGTGTCAAAAAGATATTTCGGAGATTCATATTTTAAAACCCTAAATAGTAGAACAGCATAGAGAAGTAACGAGCGATATTTGAACTTTAAAAGATTTTCCCTTACATAATACCCAGTAATGTGTTCGCGTCTGTTTATCTCATTGAAACAAAACCTCATACAATGGTTTTGTAAAACTTGAATTTTCTGTTGCATTTCCTCAGTGATAAAAGGGTAATGTACAGTACTACAATAATCTAAATGTGTGAGGATTAATGCATTAACAAGTTTTAGTTTGATATCACTTGTTAATATATATATATACTTATATCTCCATAGCGATTTGTATTTATAATAACATATTCTGAGCTTATTTATATTGTGACTTTCAAAACTTAAATTGTTATCAAGTACTATTCCCAAATTTTTTGTTTCTTCAACAAATTCAATGTTAATTCCTTCTAAAAATATGTTCGTATTTATTACTTGTTTACACTTCAGAATCGCTAGTCTAGAACCAACACAACATACTTTGGTTTTCAAGGGATTGAGCTTCAAACAATGATTTTTTGAGTACTGTTCAATTATGTCGAAATTTTTACTAAGTTCTAATATTGAAGAATTTACATCGGTTGGTTGACATGGTTTGTAAACTTGTACATCATCCGCATACAAATGTACATTCCCGTTAGATGATATATGTTTTATCAGATCTGAGGTATAAAAAGTAAATAAAATAGGGCCTAAAACGCTACCTTGTGGTACACCAGACTTCAAAGCTGGTAAAGTAGACACTACCACGCAATTTTACACATTGAGATCTATCAAATAAGTAATTACTAAACCACAGCATGGCATTTCCGGTCAAACCATAATGGTGCATTTTTTCACACAAAACCCTGTGATTTACCATGTCAAATGCCTTGCTGAAGTCTAGCATGACTAGTAGCGTTATCATGTCATCGTCTATAAATTTCACTATATCACTGGAAATTTTAATGAGCGCTGTAGATGTATTATGTAATTTCCTAAACCCAGACTGGGTGTCAGGCAACACTTTGTTGATTTCTAGATGCTCACGAAGTTCATCATCTACAATTTTCTCTAACAGTTTGGACATTGAAGGTAAAGCACTTATTGGTCTGAGGTCCTGAAAATCGATGGCATTATTAACTTTTGCAAGTGGTGTTATGACTGCTTTTTTCCATAATGTTGGCACTTACCCTGTACTCAGTGATTGGTTGATGATACTGGTTAGCTGATATTTACAAAAAGAGAACACGTTTCTCAACATGTTTGTAGTGATACCATCAACACCCGCAGCATTTGACTTGACTTCTTTCAGTTTTAGTTCAACTTGGTCTGATGTAACATGATTAAATGAATTCTTGCATACTATAGAACTTTTTTGATATGAGAATGTGTTAAGAAATAAGTCATCTGGATGCAGGTTTGGTACAGAGTTAATAAAGTGATTACTGATGCTTTCAGCGTTTTCAAGGTCCTGTGATATGTGTTTACTGGATCTTGTGTGTATATTATATACTTATACTTATTTCGAATTACTTTTTGAATCACCAAAACAAGGACGATCCGCACATAGATCGCTGTTTTTTATCCTTAAACCAGTATTAGTCCAAGAGCCGACCGCACTGCTTTGGTTACATCGCGTACTGATACAGAGTGTTAAAGACTAGGCAAATCTTACGTATTTTGATGCTAAACAGCAAACTTGCCCATCTTGCTGTCTAACAAAATAAACTCAGAAGCTCTACGTATTTAAAAATGGAAAAATGAGCTCACAGATTAGTGTTATGTATACAGAACAATCGTTACTTAGCCCAGAGATAATAGGTCTTTATTTTTCATTTCAGGGCAGATGTTCCTGATGAACAGGTTTTTTGATGGTGCCTTCTTGATGTTCGGATTCGATGTGATCAGCTTCGTGAACAGCGACCAGGAAGATCGGATAGATCCCATGATACAGATTTTCCCACGGTAACTATCACAGTGATCAGAATAAGAACATTTATACTTTTGCTGCAACATTCGACAAACTACTTGCATAAATCACCACCTAAGTTAGATTAGGGACTTCAAAAGGGAAACCTGTTTTGTGTTTCTAACGCACCTCTAGTATTATATACAGGGTGGCGCATCGAAAACGAAACAGATGCATTTACTGTCAGCTGAGTTTTTTTTAAAAAACGCTCAGACCCGTCGATTTTGTTTTCGAGGGGGACACAAGTTTGGCAAAAAATCACGTTAACACGTGCAACCCCCTGGGCGGGGGTGACACCAACCCTAAAATCTTAAATGGAAAGGGGGGTTGAGTGATACCTTATTTTAAAGGTCTTTAAATTCCCTTTATAATGATATAAAATTAATGTACTTCAGTTCACTAGTTTTCTGTTAGTTCACAAATTTGACCAGTGAAATGTATTTGAAATTACTGGAAGACGCCATAGATCCTGCATTAACAGCCATAATTAAAAATCAGAATGATCAGCGGTACATTGCGACTAGGTTGATGTTCCAACAGGATGGTGCCCCACCACATTACGCATTACGTGTTCGACAATATTTAGATCAGACGTTTCCAGATCGATGGATTGGTAGAAGAAGTGCCATTGAATGGCCCCCAAGATCGCCAGATTTATCACCTTTGGATTTCTTTATGTGGGGTCATTTGAAAAGCAAAATCTATGCTACTCAGCCAACATCATTAGAAGACCTGCAACAAAGAATTGTGAATGAGTGCCTTCAAATTACTCCTCAAACATTGCAAAATGTGCGGCAACGTTTTGAGCAAAATGTTTATTATTGCATGGAGAGTCATGGTGGCCATTTCCAACATTTACTTGCCTAACGGCTGCCAGTAAATGCGTCTGTTTCGTTTTCGATGCGCCACCCTGTATAATACATGCTGATAGGTTTTCCTTAACCAAAAGTTGCTATGGATAACCGACAAATAGAATTATCCGAGCAAATTAGGTGTTATGCTTGAGCTATACAGGGTGGCCCAACGAGAAGGTCCCACCCCCATTTGTGACTCTCCTGGTATATTTTGGGAAAAACGCTCAGGCGCTTTAATTTTGATTTTTTAGTGGGACGTCTTTTCATCTATGCTGTACAATACAGGGTGACCCAAAAATAAGTTACTACTTTACACTTTAGACTTTTAATTGTTTTCCAAATTTTAGATTCTCCATGAAGTTTTTAGTAACTTTCGTATAATAAAGTTTACATCTATCTTCAGTCGTGGTGAAGCTATTTGACTTTATAATTCAATTCTAGAAATTGTGGTAAGGGATTATAGCATAAAAATCATAATCAATAGACATCTAACAGTTGCTTTTGTAATTCAACTCCATTTTGTTACTTTCTGACACACCATAGCAACAGAGGCATGTTAACTATAAGTTATAGGCTATAGAAATTGAGCAGTGCGATTTTACTTACGTTTACAGCACAATTCTTACGATTTATACGTCTGTACGAGTATAGTGACTTGTGACAAATCTAAGTCTGAGTAATATATTAGCTATTCAGATTGTACTTAAAAAGTGATTTATGTTATGTTTGTTGCTCAATGGTAACTTGAAAAGTGTGTAAAGCTTGACTGGCTTTGTTAGGGGTTGCAGCGGAACACTATGTTAAAAAAACGTCTAAATTGGAAATAGAAATTTATGAGATTTGTTTAGCGGTGCGCCTGTGGCCTGTCCAGAAAATGCGTCGATCGATGCTCAAAGTCAATACCACACGAACAGCATATCCTACCGCGTATGTGTCTATTTATGTTGCTATATTGAATCCGTTCTAAATCACACAGCTTATGCACTAGACGTGAATATGTACAGCCCTGTATTCCTGTACTTGTTTTGTACAAACATACATTATCAAAAGTTTTTTCCAAAAGATTTCCAAAATTGTTACATGCGATCAACACCGCGAAAACTGAGAAAACATGACTATGCTGTAAATCTAAGTTCAACAACGAAAGTCTGAAGAATAACTGTGACATCCGTACTAAGTGACATATAAATCCGAACACCCAGTTTAAATGGTTTTATTTTCATAAAATTTTGTATAAGTACTTAATGAAGCATAATAAGTAAATGATAAAAATTTCAAAATGATTGCACTGCTTTAAAGCCCTTTGACCTTTAATAATGTGTGGATGCGCCCTGATGTGCTACGCATTCTCCAACGCGCCTAGGCATGCTTCTGATCAGGTGGTCAATGTCCTCCTGTGGTATCTCATTCCATGCAACCACCAACTCCTCTCGAAGTGCTTCTAGAGTCTGAGGAGGACGTTGCAAATTGAGCAACCTCCTACCCATCATATCCCACACGTGCTCAATTGGTAATAAGTCGGGAGATCTTGGTGGCCATGGTAACAATGTGACATAATTTTGAAAGAAGTCTATTGTGACTCTTGCAACATGTGGTCGAGCATTATCTTGTTGGAAAGTTGGATCTGCCAGGGTGTCAAGATAGGGTAAAAGATGGAGTTCTAGAACTTCGTGGATATGACGCTGCGCGTTCATGTTACCTCTGATGAAGATTAAAGGTGACCTGGAACCATAAGCTATAGCACCCCAAACCATAACTCCAACAGTGTGATGAACATGTCTTTCAACAAAAAACTGTGGATTCCTCGTTTCACCACGTCGCCTTCTAACCCTGGCACGACCATCGTGCATGCCTAAACAAAATCGAGACTGGTTACTAAAGACAATACTGTTCCATTCCTGATCCCAGAGTGACCGTTGTCTGCACCACTCAAGGCGATTACGTCGGTGTTCTCGAGTTAAAGAGAGGACCCAGTGTGGGCGGTATGAAAATAAGCCAAAACTTCTCATTCGTCGGTAAACACTTCGCATGCCAATAGGTCTTCCGTGTTCTGCAAACCATTCATTTGCAATGGACCTGGTAGTGGAGAAACGGTCCCCTAAGGCCAATAATTTTAGGCGGCGATCTTCACGGTCTGTTGTTCTACGGCGGCGTCCAGTGCCCCTTGCTCTTTGCGTACGGCCTTCTCGAAGCCATGCCTGACAACACCTAACCACAGTGTCTACACTTCTTTGCACTCTAACTGCAATTGCCCGAAAAGAAAGTCCAGCTTCCCGAAGTCCCACTATACGGCCCCTATCAAACTCACTAAGTTGACGAAATCGTACAGGTCTCCGTACTCTAGGCATCGTAACCGATCGTAAAGGATGTCAAGAACCAAAATCCGCCAACGTTGATTCTTTACTGCGGCTGAAATATTCATTTTTAGAGCGTTAGTGAATTAAAAAAAGCAGTATAAAAACCGGAATGTCCAACTGATAAGACTGAAAATTTTTTCACTTGTTATTTACAGTAAGATAAATACATTCACCAACTTTTGTTAAAATAAAACCATTTAAACTGGGTGTTCGGATTTATATGTCACTTAGTATATATTGAATTTCAAAAAATAGTTGACTATACCTATTGTTATTTTTATCACCATATAATAGAAGTGCTTGATTGTGTCAGTATTTGCACCAGTTACTTGATTTGTTTAATGGGCAGTGCAGAGTCTTAATCCTTATGCTTAGTACACACTGGTAGACCCCATTGCGCTATTTGTCTTTTCCTTGTCTCGTCTAGCGTCCCTGCGATAATGTGAATTTTTCGGTCTTATGTTCATTTTCGCCATCAAAGACATTATTTTGTGTGCAATGCACTAGGATATGTCTCGGGGTCCCTCAGAATGTTTTGTTTATTTTTTCTTTCATAGCAATTAAGTTTTTTATGTTTTAACCTTTAATATTACTACACTAGTTGATTATAAGTATATATTATTTTCTACCCATATACTAGAATATTGCCTTTCTGAGGATTTCTGAGCATTTTTCATGTTTTTGTTTCTTTTTTTGTTCAGGTTGGCATTGACGCAATGCATTTGAGGAGCAATAATAGGATAAATTCTAGAAGTTCCACTGAGATTGAAAAATTACCAGCCCCAAATATCGTTTGCGCCCCCCCCAAGACGAGATCCTAAGTCCGACCTTGCTCGCAGGGGTGAAATTTATTGTATTTCAAAATTCTTTGCACTGTTGAGTGTTTAAATCCTGAAGAAGTAGCCACTCCAAGAGTGCTTTGGGTGTTGTCAAGTGCTACGTGTCCCAAAACTGCTATTTCTGCGGATGTATACTAAGTGACATATAAATCCGAACACCCAGTTTAAATGGTTTTATTTTAATAATAGTTGGTGAATGTATTAATCTTACTGTAAATAACAAGTAAAAAAATTTTCAGCCTTATCAGTTGGACATTCCGGTTTTTATACTGCTTTTTTTTAATTCACTAACGCTCTAAAAATGAATATTTCAGCCGCAGTAAAGAATCAACGTTGGCGGATTTTGGTTCTTGACATCCTTTACGATCGGTTACGATGCCTAGAGTACGGAGACCTGTACGATTTCGTCAACTTAGTGAGTTTGATAGGGGCCGTATAGTGGGACACCGGGAAGCTGAACTTTCTTTTCGGGCAATTGCAGTTAGAGTGCAAAGAAGTGTATACACTGTGGTTAGGTGTTGTCAGGCATGGCTTCGAGAAGGCCGTACGCAAAGAGCAAGGGGCACTGGACGCCGCCGTAGAACAACAGACCTTGAAGATCGCCGCCTAAGATTATTGGCCTTAAGGGACCGTTTCTCCACTACCAGGTCCATTGCAAATGAATGGTTTGCAGAACACGGAAGACCTATTGGCATGCGAAGTGTTTACCGACGAATGAGAAGTTTTGGCTTGTTTTCATACCAGCCACACTGGGTCCTCCCTTTAACTCGAGAACACCGACGTAATCGCCTTGAGTGGTGCAGACAACGGTCACTCTGGGATCAGGAATGGAACAGTATTCTCTTTAGTGACGAGTCTCGATTTTGTTTAGGCATGCACGATGGTCGTGCCAGGGTTAGAAGGCGACGTGGTGAAAGGAGGGATCCACAGTTTTTTGTTGAAAGACATGTTCATCACACTGTTGGAGTTATGGTTTGGGGTGCTATAGCTTATGGTTCCAGGTCACCTTTAATCTTCATCAGAGGTAACATGAATGCGCAGCGTTATATCCACGAAGTTCTAGAACCCCATCTTTTACCCTATCTTGACACCCTGGCAGATCCAACTTTCCAACAAGATAATGCCCGACCACATGTTGCAAGAGTCACAATAGACTTCTTTCAACATAATGATGGCACATTGTTAGCATGGCCACCAAGATCCCCCGACTTATCCCCAATTGAGCACGTGTGGGATATGATGGGTAGGAGATTGCTCAATTTGCAACGTCCTCCTCAGACTCTAGAAGCACTTCGAGAGGAGTTGGTGGTTGCCTGGAATGAGATACCACAGGAGGACATTGACCACCTGATCGGAAGCATGCCTAGGCGCGTCGGAGAATGCGTAGCACATCAGGGTGCATCCACACATTATTAAAGGTCAAAGGGCTTTAAAGCAGTGCAACCATTTTGAAATTTTTATCATTTACTTATTATGCTTCATTAAGTACTTATACAAAATTTTATTAAAATAAAACCATTTAAACTGGGTGCTCGGATTTATATGTCACTTAGTATATTTCTAATTGGTCGATTTTCTGGATGGTGATCCAGTTTCTCCAAATTTTCCTAGCAACTTAGCCACAAACTTATTATTCGACTCAACAAGAATCCATTGCAATATTTATATAAATAATTTACAAAGTATAAGGTGAAGGTTTTTTTGGTTTTGTGAAGAGCGGCGACCGTCCAATTTGTGACCTAAGCAATGACCTTGACAAAGGGCGACTACGGGTCACTATTGAATATTTTTTGGAAAACCTTTCATCCGTTGTCCTTTGTAGCACATCGGTACAGTGTTTCCAGATTCCTCACATCTACTATCTGTCAATGCAATGGACCGAATTCAATACGAGACCCGTAAATTAAGTGCTGTAACTGACAACGTAGCGTGCGATCTGGCAACACTGGAGGCGCTCGGCTTGGAGGGGAGACGGGGAAATATGTGATCCGCCTTCAGTACAAGTTTGAACTCGCGCGAGTCAATTTGGTTGGCTGCTGTGTTTTTTTTGTGTCAAAAAATCAATTACGAACAACGATGTGCTTCAGTCTTAGGTACAGTGCAACGAAAACTCTCGCTAGACTTCAGCAAGCCTACGGAGATAGTGTTTCATGGGCCCAGATTTTTCGGTGGTTTCAGACATTTTCAGAAGGGAGAGTATCGATTGGAGTTGGAAGACAAAGCGGAAGGCCTTCATCTTCAAATATCGACAGAACCCGGGCTCGTCGGTTGACAGTTTCACACCTCTGTTAATTAGATTTTGAACAGCGAATTGGGATGAGAAAAATGTGCGCAAACATGTTTTCAAAAAACCTATCGCAAGACCAAAAGGACATTGCAAGGACGGATGCCTTGCCTTTTGAGATTCGATTGAAAATGACCCCCATTGTACCATTACTAGTATATAAGTACGACCCAAGAACCAAGCGCCAGAACATGGAGTCGCATACTTCGACCTGTTGAAAGCCCAAAAAAGTAATAAAGACGAAGTCGGATGTTTTTGCGATATCCCCAAAACCATTCACAAAGAGTTTCTACCTCAAGGCCAAACGGTCAGTCAACACTTTTACAGGAAGGTTCTTGAAAATAGGGTCATTCGTGTAAGATCAAACCATGTCACCCAGCAATGTGAATAAACGAGGTTGTGGCCAATAAAAACATTCCTGATGCTCCTCAGCCTCCTTAATCGCCTGACTTGGGTCCTTGTGACATTTTCCTCTTCCCGAAGTTGAAAATCACCCATTTTGGGACAGTCGAAAACATTTAAACGGCTGTAATCTACCAGCTGAAGGCAATTCAAGTGACAGATTTCCAGAACTGCTGCGTTAGTGGAAGAACCGTCTCCAGAACTAAGAGGCTTCAGAAGGAAAGAAGACAATATAAAATTGTAATTATATTAATTTTTAGACCTCGATGTTCCACTATTTTCCTTTTCCAACATAACGTACTGTATAGCAATGCTTTATGGTGTTTTAAATCAGTATTGTGACTTTTTCTGTCTACTTTTCAGAATGACCAAGTGCACATTTCGAAAATACGGCGTCTCCGGCGATCAGGAAAAGCATGACGCTCTCTGCATCCTTCCGCTCAACGTGGTTAACGAAAAAATATACGTATTTCTGTGGTTCTGGTTCATCATCCTCACCATTTTAACCACGCTCACGCTTATCTACAGGGTAATCATCATTTTCTCGCCTAGAATGAGAGTTTACTTGCTCAGGATGAGATTTAGGTGAGTACCTCAATGTCTGGGCCAACAAATAGAAGATTTTATAATGATGAGTTCAAATTCGTGTCACTTTTTTTAATCGTGTTAAAGCATCATCAAATAAAACACTAAATCGGCGTTAGGATAGGGCTGGAGCATTTGCCACGATTTTGATAAACGCGTTTGGTTGAAAATATTTAAAACCACCGATCTTATGTAAAAAGAGTAGTAGAAGAAATTTTGTAGTGAATCAAATTCTATATCAGTTTGCTTCTCAAAAAATTTGTTGTTACGTAAAGGGTAACGGTACATGTAATGATATTTCTGCTTATAATGGCTAAACTAAGAATCTAAGAGAAGAAGACACTGCTAATTTTTTTAATTGAACTTACAATTGAAGACTTTGGTGTGAAAAGGTGTTGACTGAATGTTTTCGGATTTTGAGATTTGTACTGCAAAGAGGTGTTAAAATAGTGCTTTTTTGGTAGGAGATTTATAAAAGTGTTAACTATATCAAAAACAACAATGTGAAAACCTTAAAAGATGTTAACTCTTGCATTATAGGTAAAAAGGTGTTAACTCGAGGGTTGATTCAGTTTACGTTTAAAATGTAAAAATGTTTGCCATGTAGGATCGAATGCGGAACATGTTGCAAAGCTTTTGATGTACAAAAATTTAATCGAGGAATAGCAAAAACAACCTTACATTTGATTTACAAAAAACACTTCCCTTGCCGGAAATTTCTTCAAGTAGAGCCTCCTATTTACGACAAGAATGTACGTACAATCTAGGAATACATTTGATATCAACACAGCAACTAAATGGTAAAGGTTTTTTCCACGTCTGGACCCAAGACCAAAGAAATCGCGGTCCTGAAGAGATTGGCCTTTTTTAAGATATCAAGGACCAAGGCATGGTTTCCGATCATCTGATTGCATGGAGAGATCCGGAAGGTGGTTGTAATAAAAAAAATATATTTTCTGTCTATGACACTACCTAATAACCTCTGGGGTGTTCAAAAAAGCTCCCTGAAGTAGGACGTACCTTCATGGACTCATGGATAGAGATTTTGCAACTGTAGACCAGTCTATCAGAAAGCACCAACTAATTTATACGGGGATCAATGTATTTCAGTCATAGCAGAAGCCAGGAAAAAACATCTTTTAATATTACAAGAATGGCGGACAAATTTTTTGATATTAAAGAACTTTGACTGGTCGATAGAAAAAAAACGACAACTAATAAAAAAATTTCAGAGATTCAAGATGGATCCAGATTGGAGAATTTGCTGTAATCACCACGTACAGTCACTCTTTTGACGAAATGGAAAATTGTTTACTATTATTGATATAAGAAAACAGCGAAATCTGGATAGAAGATTACAAAATGAAACATAATTATTGAATCTCGATAGAAGCCTTTTGGGGCTAAAAAGTTTGATGATATTCATGCACAAATTCTTTTAATACCTGCAGGTTTTAGAGGCTTTTTATCAAAATTTAAAAAAGAAGGCGACTAGTTACAGTGTGTGGACTATTTATTATTTCTTTTGTGAGTTTGTAATAAGAAAAAAGAGAAATTTTTACTTTTAATAAATAACATCCTTGAAGTAACACCTTTCAGCAACTATCGTTTTCCGGACCAAGCAAATACCAGTTTTTAAAAAAGGTGTTAAGTCATATTTTCAACAATCTATTTCGAATTTCTGTTAATAAAAACGATTTTTTTAACAAAACTGTCTTTTCGAGATACCTTCATATGTGTCTAAAATAACCTTCCATAATAAAAGTGCTCCTAACATTTTTCAATAAAAAAATGTCAGGATTTAAACTTCGAGGTCAATTATCTCCAAACTATGAAATGTGAGTTAACACCTTTTTGTACCAAAGGCTTCAATTAGGAGGCAATCATCTAACGATATCAGTAAAAAAAATTACTATCGTCTAAATCAGAGTTCCCCAAACTGTTTTTTGCCGTAGACCCCTTGCCATGTTTTTCCGTGTTGTGTAGACCCCCTACTTACCTGATATTGATTTCCTGGAAATTTATAACTGTAGTGAAGATTAGTGTTAAAAACTTAAAGTAAAAACACATGTTAATTTATACTTTTATTAATTGAATTTAAATTAAAACTACTCAAAATAAAATTTTGTATCTGTTATGTAAAATTTACGTAACATTAAATAAACAAGTGTCTGATCAATAATTGCCCGCATTGGGAATAAGTGCCCGCATTGAAAAAAAATAAGAGGGATAAAATAAAAAAAAAGTGAAAAATAATTAAAAAAACAGTTTTTCACTTAAAATCGTACAATAAGCGAGTTCGTTTATTAATTATAACATAAACGTATGTTCTACAATAATTTCACTGTTTGTTTGATTAAATTCCGCTTCTTATACGTTTAAGTTATCTAAAAATAGGCAAAAAATTAACGAATTTTAGTGTGTACCTATCCTTGAATTTTCAGAATAATTTTAAAAAGAAATATTTTCTATAAAGGGGGTTCTTTAAAAAAATCAATGCGGGCACTTATTCCCAATGCGAGCATTTATTGGTCAGACACCAATAAACATAAAATAAACTATAAATAAAATAACATAAGCAATAAGTCAATATTATAATTAATTAATAACCTGATGCTATGATAATAAATTATCAACATTTGGCGTCAATTTTGTAAGGGTTAATCTTAAATCTCCTCGGCTCCTCTTGTATTATGACATTCATTTCTTCTATGTCACCATATGGATTAATTATCCACGGTGGTATTACCATAGTCAAAATATCCTCAAACCTAGATTCAAAATCTGAATAGAGGGCATTTAAATGTTGAACGTAAGTTGAAACGTCGTCTTCCTGGCAGCTTGTCTGTGACAAATTGGGGAACTGAGAAAATTCGCCCCGTCCAATATTTTGCTTCATTAGTTTAACTCTGGCAAGAAACGCTGCTAAGATGGACTTTGTTTTAATCAAATTTAAACTGTCGCCTTGCAATTGCAAATTTACCATATTAAATTTTGTAAACAAATCTGTTTTCCTCTTCATTAAATTTTATTTTAAAATGTTACCTTTAGTATCCAGAAATTCTAAAATAGTCTCAAAAAGTGAAAAAAATTTTGTCAAACATAAGCCTTTCGACAGCCAGCGAACTTCAGTGTGAAAGAGTAATTGATGAAAGTGTTCGTCATTTTCTTCACACAACTGCGCAAATAATCGCGTATTTAACCCGTTGCTTTGGATTCGGTTTACTGCATCAATGACTAAATGAAGTGATTCATGCAATCTAACACTCAAATTTTTAGCAACTAATGTTGTCGATGGATGACGCAATGTATTGCTAACACCCCTGACACATTTTGTTTTAAATAGCTTATAAATCCACGATAACGTCCAACCATGGCAGGTGCTCCATCTGTAGCTACTGATATTATATATATTTGATAAAGGAATTGCTTTTTCAATGAAGTAATCCTTCAAAACATGAAATATTGATTCACCTTTAGTGTCGGTTATCAAAGTTCTTGCGAAGAGCAGTTCTTCGTAGATTTCTTGATTCATAATAAAACGAACATATGCCAATAATAATGCTGTATTATCAGGTAAAGTTGACTCGTCCAGTTGTATAGAGAAATGGGTCGTTTGCAAATAATTACATAAGAAGCTTTCAATATCAGAACTCATTTTATCAATACGTCTTTCAACAGTATTGTTGCTTAAGGGAATTCTTTTAATGATATCAGATGCAGGTTTGTGTAAAACAGTTTTTAAAACCTCTTCAACGGCTGGCAAAATTAACTTCTCTCCGATAGTATGCGGTTTTCCGGATTTTGCTATAAGTAACGAGATATTGTAAGACGCCCGCAAGCCATCATCATTTCTTTGTGACGTCAAAGCGAACATTCTGTCCAGTGTAGGTCTCTTCTGAAATTTATCTTTGAGTGTTTGAAAGTATTTCAAATCTTTCTCTGTTTTATCAGGGTGGCATCTTCTCAGATGCTGCAGTTTAGATGGTTTCATAGCGTCATTGCCCAAAACTTTGTTGCATAAAAGGCACATAGGCGATTGTTTGTCCGGCAATGATGGAATGAAGCCAAATTTCAAATAATCAACACTGTACTGTCTACATATCTTTTTAGATTCGGACATGGCATCAGTTATCTTTGGGCAAAATTAAATTATTTAAATAAGATAAACATCCATAATTCGAACATCTTCTTGCAACAATTAGCTTGAATTACGGAGATTGCACTGTAATTATATTACCGATTGCTAAAACTTTCAAAAAGAAACTATTGAGGAGTACTCGTGTAATTTTGCATGATTGAATATTTAACTACTAATAAATAACTAAAGTCATGATTGGCGTAATTTATCTATCTTTGCTAACTACGAGTACAGAACTAAAATCTAATAAAAAATAATGTACTTACATTTCTCCAGCACTCTCAAACAAAATAACACTAATATCTGTGTGATATACTATCTGTTTATATTTTTTAAAATATTTTCTTAGCACTTTCCTTTTCAAGATACAGGAAACGAATAAACGTATTTGTCCCACATTCGTATTTATAGAGTGACGAATTGAACAAGTCAGTGTAAGGTAGAGAAGCTCTGAGACTGCGACTCTCAGGTTTTTACAAGTTCAAAATGTATTGCGACCACAAAGCGAATACCAACATCCTACAACTTACACAATTTTATAAACATATATAATATTTTTTTTACTTCATAGGTACTTTTACAAATAATGTATATATATGTTTTGATATTATAAGATAGTATGATGTAGGTAAATAGGCACTATCAGTGTATGTGTTGAGATCCACTATCGTGGACACCATATTCATTTCATGGACCCCCAAATGTTTTTTCGCTGACGTAGACCCCTTGCAGGTTGTCATAGACCCCTAGGGGTCGATAAAGACCACTTTGGGAATCAATGGTTCAAAATTATCGAATTTTCTGGCCTGTGCTAGCTTTCACCAGCTTTATCAAGCGTTTTAGGAATGCTTGAAATAGCTTCCAAATATTTCTCATAATAGCGATTCGCCTTGTTATTGCTATGGTGAAAAATCGTAAACTTGAAATAACCAACCTACCAATTTTTGTAAGCCTCATGATCTGAATACATGGTAAGACTTGAATACGAAGGGAGGTCGTGCAATGGAATCAAAACAAATATTTTCTATTCTTTTTTTATATTTAAATGTTCTCTGTCAAAGTGATTAACGGGAAACCCAATCTCAAGACGTTTGTGCTATGTTATAACTTTTTGGGCGTGGAATAGTGGAAAATCGCAAACGTTATTTATATACGTTACCCAAAGGCATAGGCTTCTTTTCAAACGACGTATTTTAAGTTGCGTATCTCTTCAGCGATAAATAGGTTTACAATAATATTTTGGTAAAAAAAACAGACCAACACGATGAAAGATGTATCCTCACTGTTAGAACTCCCAACAGCTATAAATAATAAGGAAATAAATCTTACTTCGTGATGAATTTGGGGGTATTCCGCGAGTGGAATGTGGCTTTCATGTAAATATATTCATTTGAGTAAGTGAGATATGCTTTTCATGCTTCCAAATAGAACAAAAATGTAAGAGAGGAATGCAGAAATCCCAGATGTGTACCACATTTCAGTCACGTAGTTGTCGCAATATGCTTTGGAGTATTCCAAATACATATGTTTATCCAATACATGTAAAGGCAATCAAGATATATGTATATATTCCAGGAAGTTAAAGTATATTAAATATAGAAACGAGACCTCAGGTTAAAATTGTTCCAAGGATATATGTTCTTTGTGATAGCAACTCGGCTGCATATGTCATCCCTCCAAATATTTGCCTCTTGTAGTAGCCAAAAATAACACAGCCCACAAAGAAAAGAGATCGAGATATATGAGACAAACGATGATGTTTCTCTCTATTTTTCAACGCTGGATTCGAATTCTGGAACAGAAAAGTTTCTAGACGTCTAGAATTCATCCCCGGGTCGGCGAGTTTTGGATGCCATATACTGGAGAACTTAATTTACAAATATGTTCCAACGCTGAATCTCAATTTGTGGTCCAAAATATTCTCGAAACACATAGAATTTGCTTCTGTGCCCAACAAATACCCTAAAGTGGTGAAAATTCAGTTTCAGATGCTAGAGCATGCTATTCCAATGTATTTTCCGACGGCGAATCTGAATTTTTGTAGAGAAGATTCTTACACCCCTATATTTTGCCTTTGGGCTCAAGAACTATCACTAACAGGCGAGAGATGTATCTTTCGATGTTGTTTGTGGTCCAAAAGGTCCCCATACTCCCAGAGTTCGCCTCTGGGCCCATCAGAGTGGTGAAAATTTTGTTTCGCATGTTAGATGCTAGAACATGGCATGGCCTTGTATTCTTCAATGCTGAATCGGAATTTGGTGTTATAGAAATTCATCTCCGTTAAATTGACCCCCGGAGTCAAAGCTACCCGTAATGACGACGTTGTGTCTTTTGATCGGAATCTCGCCAGTCTGCTGAACGATACAGTCCAATAGATCTGACAAGACCGTGGTTGGGCCATACGTAAGTAAAATACCGTATGATATGACTCGAACCCGAACATTTTTAATGTCACATTCATATACTGAGTGACATATAAATCCGAACACCCAGTTTAAATGGTTTTATTCTAATAAAATTTTGGATAGGTACTTAATGAGGCATAATAAGTAAATGATAAAAATTTCAAAATGATTGCACTGCTTTAAAGCCCATTGACCTTTAATAATGTGTGGATGCACCCTGATGTGCTATGCATTCTCCAACGCGCCTAGGCATGCTTCTGATCAGGTGGTCAATGTCCTCCTGTGGTATCTCATTTCAGGCAACCACCAACTTCTCGCGAAGCGCTTCTAGAGTCTGAGGAGGACGTTGCAAATTGAGCAATCTCCTACCCATCATATCCCACACGTGCTCAATTGGGGATAAGTCGGGAGATCTTGGTGGCCATGGTAACAATGTGACGTCATTATGTTGAAAGAAGTCTATTGTGACTCTTGAAACATGTGGTCGGGCATTATCTTGTTGGAAAGTTGGATCTGCCAGGGTGTCAAGATAGGGTAAAAGATGGGATTCTAGAACTTCGTGGATACAACGCTGCGCGTTCACGTTACCTCTGATGAAGATTAAAGGTCAACTGGAACCATAAGCTATAGCACCCCAAACCATAACTCCAGCAGTGGGATGAACATGTCTTTCAACAAAAAACTGTGGATTCCTCCTTTCACCACGTCGCCTTCTAACCCTGGCACGACCATCGTGCATGCCTAAACAAAATCGAGACTCGTCACTAAAGACAATACTGTTCCATTCCTGATCCTAGAGTGACCGTTGTCTGCACCACTCAAGGCGATTACGTCGGTGTTCTCGAGTTAAAGGGAGGACCCAGTGTGGCCGGTATGAAAACAAGCCAAAACTTCTGATTCGTCGGTAAACACTTCGCATGCCAATAGGTCTTCCGTGTTCTGCAAACCATTCATTTGCAATGGACCTGGTAGTGGAGAAATGGTCCCTTAAGGCCAATAATCTTAGGCGGCGATCTTCACGGTCTGTTGTTCTACGGCGGCGTCCAGTGCCCCTTGCTCTTTGCGTACGGCCTTCTCGAAGCCATGCCTGACAATACCCAACCACAGTGTCTACACTTCTTTGCACTCTAACTGCAATTGCCCGAAAAGAAAGTCCAGCTTCCCGAAGTCCCACTATACGGCCCCTATCAAACTCACTAAGTTGACGAAATCGTGCAGGTCTCCGTACTCTAGGCATCGTAACCGATCGTAAAGGATGTCAAGAACCAAAATCCGCTAACGTTGATTCTTTACTGCGGCTGAAATATTCATCTTTAGAGCGTTAGTGAATTAAAAAAAAGCAGTATAAAAACCGGAATGTCCAACTGAAAATTTTTTCACTTGTTATTTACAGTAAGATAAATACATTCACCAACTTTTATTAAAATAAAACCATTTAAACTGGGTGTTCGGATTTATATGTCACTTAGTATATGTGTGATCAACAAAGGAAAACACCAATGTGTGAACGCCGGGGTTGTCCATTGTTGGCGCTGAATAATAACATCTCTTACCGTGTTAGCGCCAGCGTATGCTCCATTGTTGTTTTTTAGGGGAGGCATATATCGGTGTGTATTGTTTGTCGAATTTGACAACTATGAACAGACCCTAGGCGAGGCTTTCGGTCATTTTTTGCTGAACGTTGCTTGTGTGGTGTTCTGCTCTCCTTTTCTCCCAAAAGGATGATAGAAAAATTGTATAGCATAAACAGGGGAGTACCATCCTCCAGCGTCTATTTGGGCCCGGAGTGAATTTTAGAGGAGTAGGGATGTATTCAACCACAAACTTAGATTCAGCGTAGAAAAATACTTGGGAATACCATGTTCAAACATCTGGCATCCAAAAGTAAATTTTTAACCCGGCCTAGGGGTCGTTTTTGGGCATGGGAATGAATTGTAGACGTCTAGGAATTCCTGTTCCAGGATTCAAATTTATCGTCAAAAAATACGTAGGGGTATTGTGATCTGTCTCACGGATCTCAAACTATTTTGTAGAGCTGTATAGTAGCTATTTCGACTCTATTCAGTTATATCCGTCTTATCTTCAATGACGATAAGCCAGGTAATACGGTAACTAGCCTAGTGGAATGTACTGATATTACGTTGCAAATTAGAAGCTAATTTTAAGGCTATTCAAATCTGTATAGAATCGTTATAAAATTCGTCATCCATTTCCAGAAACCAGCAATGTCATTGTAGTGATTATTAACTGTCATGATAACATTTTTAGACGTTGGGGATTGTAACAAGGATGAAGCAGGGATGATGCTTAGGACCACATCAGATTCTAGATTTTAATGACAGTATACTTTATTTTTATTTTAACCGGACCCCTGAGGTACACCAAATCTTGCACTATAGGTCTTGCATTGATAGCCGTCATATTCCACGTACATGCTTCTTTCGAGGA